TTCGAGCTATTTTCCAAAATCCTATCTAGAGATTGCATAGCTTTTTTGTCGAGGGATCCGGAAGAAGCTTACTTTCGGGTTTTAGGATGCGTCACTGTGACACTCTATAACCAACCAAGGTAAAACCCGCTCACCTTATCACCTGCATCTCCTCCTAGAGCACCATTGTGTTATTTGTAACCAAATATCTCTCAGAGGGGTGTGGGGAGTGGCTCCTTATTTTCATCTAAAGTAACAGACAGAGAATCCGCACTTTTGAAACAGGGCTGAAACAGAGGGGGTTATGGGATGCTACAATGCATGATCTGTTTGGTATTTCGAGCTAAACACTTCAGATACCTGTTTTGTGTATATCTGAGACCTATAATATATTGATGAAAAACAGTATAATACAATAGGGGACCTTTAAGATTGTATGCAATCAGTAGTAGAGTTGAAATACTGCCCCTCTATTCATTTGGATGATGCCATTATAATGTTGCCCTATTTAAACATTAGAAGACAAGTGCTGTGTTTGTCTAACAATGCACTTTTCTCCTGGAGTGCTCCTCCTGCAGCAGTAGTCTTGCAGAGAAATGCTGCATTAGCGTGGTGATAAAGCCAGAGGTGGTTTGCTGTCATAACTGGAAGAAATTCCCAGAGTTTGAATAAAGCCAGAATCAGAGTTGGAGTGGGTATCAGTCAGTCGGTGTAATTGATAGCAGAGACTGACAGCCGTTGTCATGAGAGGTGTCAGCAGGTCCTCCATACTGCCACTCTCCTCCTTGCAGAAAGAGAAGGAAGGAGGGCCACAGAAGAAGAGGAGCAGGCAGGCTGACATGAGAGAGGTCAGGGAGTCAGAGGGACGACAGATGATGAATGAAGAAATGTAGAGGAAACACCAGGCAGGCCTTGACACCTTTACTGCCCACACCAGTCCTGCCCTGTCCTGCTCTCTGACCCTGATGGATACAGCAACAGACAGGGTTCAACCTTACTCTGCGGCTTCAATAATGGTGAATAATGATGATGTGCCATTTGTGTTTTCCCCCCACCTGCACTCAAATATATCCCTGGTAGAGATTGGTGTGGAAGCAACTCGAAACATTAAGTATGTTTTCCACCTGGGCCGAATAACTTTTAACCAATAATCCCTAGGAGATCAGATAAGTATTTGCTTCAAACAAAAACAAACATTTTACGGCAGTGCATTTTTCTACATAGTTGTGTTGTTCAGACACAACTTCCAACCACAAAATGCGTAGCTATAAAACATCAGTCTGCACCTGACAAATGTGTTAAATAAAGGCCAAGAGCATGAATCAAACGGCTAGTACCTGATGATTAACCTGGCAGGCAGCTTGAAGTACAACATTTGCCTGCTTGTTTTCCATAAAGTGCAGTCACTCTTAGCACACTTTTAACTGTTTCAAAACTCAACAAAATAGGGACTGTATTAACCTAAATCACAATGATTTTAAAGCTTCACACATCTTAAAGGGACTCAGCATTGTCTCACTGTTAGTGTGTCAGCAGCAAAGATTATCCTGAGGAAATGTCTTTGTTATGTCTCTTTTTTCTGTCTGTTTTACAGAGGGGAGGATTAGAGTGTGTTGCTGCAGGCCATCTAGCAAAGCAATAAAGTGTTCCACTCATGCAGACACAATGCTTGTCTTCTTTTATGCCATTTGTGGGAGAAACTTCTGTGTAGCAATGCATTGGGAGTCACCGACTCATGAAGGAGACATGGGAAGAGCAGGAGCTTTGATGTCAAACACTGATGGTTTATTTGGAGGTTCGGCCGGAGGATTCACATCACAAGTCACAGCAGTCACGGTGTGACTGCACGGGAGAGTTGCCACGTCAATTCTGGAGCGCCTCTCTTTCATTAGCCCATTTAACTGGTTTCACAGAGAGTAATCAACATATTTGAGAAGATAGCCTAAACATTTGGGAACACTGAGTCTGACACTTATGGCCTCGAAGATTTCACACCTTGGAGTCCACAAACACCGAGAAGGAAGTGTCCCAGTGCACCCACAACAATAAACCATCTGTGACCTAGGGTTGCCCGGTCATAGAATGGGAACAACAACATTAAGGCTGAAGCAGCCTATCTCCTTAAAGGGGACAACAGACGTCAGGGTTGGTCATGCACATGACGTCATATCTAGGAGTCTAGGACAATTATTTCTCTAACACCATTGAGTTAATCTTCCTCTAGTGTATCACTTGCTATCCATCTTGTAAGTGCAGCTGTATATGTTTTTTTTGTTCTCCTATCATTGAGATTTGTGTGAAGACGAACACATTCAGGAAGCACACAGTCCATCTGCTGGCTGTTCCTTAACATTTAATTGCAGTTGTTTCCTCAAGGTTTCTTCAATTCCCCCCCCATAACTGTGGGGTTTCTTTTGGAAGTTTTTTCTTGTCCGATGTGAGGGTCAAAGGACAGAGGTTGTCATTTCATAATCTGAATAAGTCCACTGAGACAAATGAAAGTGTGTGATATTGGGATATATAAATAAACTTTGATTGATTGATTGATGCAAGTTGTAGAAATCCTAGCAGCTGCAGGGTTGCTTTTGACAATTAAAGCTTTTAAGATATGAATGAAATCAGTGCATTAGGTCTTGTCATGTAATCAGAAATTGAAATATAATGTCTTGCCATTATTTTCTATTTGATGTGTCTAATTCATTTTTAGCATCCCTGCTGGGCTGAAGCATCAATTCTGGAATATAGCACCTCTGGAAAGCACTAATGACACCACCATAAAATCAAGAGGACTCATTGATCAGTCATTCTGAAAGTGCAGATAGGTACTGAGATCCATGACGCCTGTTCCAGATGTGTGAGGGAGCAAGAGATGATTCCCTCATTACTGTGAAATGTGTTTCTCTGAGCTCATGCATTGTAAGAAATAAACAGCTCTCTGAGTCTGAGTCACTGAATGGAGCCAAACATGCAACTAATGAACAAATAACTCCCGCTGTATCCCAAGCAACCCTATTCAACTCTACAGTCGGGAAGCATCCATAAACACTGCAAACAATGTGGGTCATCAGCTTGCATTTGATCTTCTAAAATAAATGGGCGGAAATAATTCTGGGCCACTCATTTGGTAGCAGAATATTCTGGCCTGGCAATTGAATGGCCCAACATACTCCCAATATCTCCAGGCTATGCTGAGATTTTAATTACGGTTAAATTGACCTGAGAGTGAATGAAACTCTTGCCCTCAAATGCTTCCTAAAATAGATTGTGTGAAAGCAATGGCTGTTGCTGGAGAGCTGTCACCGATCCTTTAGGCAAAGAAGATGCGTTCACCATGACCGCCTTCCTAGTGACTGTAGCCTGCACAAAGATAAAGCATGTCAGATGCAATTGCCATGCACACAGGGCCCATGACATCATTCTGTGCACAAGTGACCGCTAAGTAGTGTGAAGAGCGAGGGCAAAGGAGAGTAAATTGTGGAAGAGTACACAAACCCTGCACCCTATGCATGCTTTAAGCACACAGAGCAAAGCTAACATGGGCGATGATGTCAACTACTTTCCCATAGTGGGACTATGGGAAAAACTGGGGTGCAGCAAGCAGTAGCCCCCTTTTCATCATACAGAGGGCAGAATGGCACGTTAATGACTATCACTTCACAGGGTAAAACTGACTTGGTAAACATGAATGAATTAGAATATAGAGATGCCGAACATAATAGCGGAATGAAATGATGGGCTGCATTGCCAATGATTTAGGTTTGATATTAATAATTGCAAAAAAAACTGTGACATTGGCCAAAATGTGTATTATCACACTCAAGAACTATGTAATAATTGAACACAAACTATTATAATAACAAATTATGTTAGGAATAGTATTGCCAAATACAAATATGAAATGATGGGAACTTCCGAAATACTAAAATAAAGGGCAAAATCATGGTCAAAGCCACTTTGTAGGGCTTTATAAATCCTTCTCTGAAAAAGGTTTACAGAGGTCGCCCTCTGTTGGTGATTATGAATCTTGCATACCTTCTGAACAGAAGCTCCCTTACAGTACTTCCACAAGTAAATGTATGCCAATCCTGGTTACCCTTTTTTCCCCAAGCTAAAGTTCCCATACACTCATGGCAAAAACAGACAAACCATATTGTGGCAAAAGAGTTTGGCATAAACATTGTTGACCGAGGTCAGTTTTAAGAAATATCACTGTTCTTAAATTCAATTTAGACAACAACAACAATTGAAATACTGTTTTTGTCCTTGGATACTGCAGCACAGTTTTAAACAAAAGGCACCACATTTATCACAACTTTGTTACCAGGAGAGCTTCTATGGAATTAAATTCTAGTTATTGAATTCGTCTGTTTTGCTTCTTAAAAATTGCATGTTTGTATTTGTGACTGCTCGGGTACAAATGCAAGGTAAAAATCATAGGATAATATGTTGTCGATTCAAATTCCATTACTTTAATGCATAGGCCTACAGTTTTGTGCTTTTTACAGGAAACTCAATTTAGCAATATTAATGCATTTCTATAGCAGGCTACAAGACTGCATTTTAGAGTATTTGACCAAATAATGAGTTAGTTATGATTATCCTGTATTATTCCTTAGATCTGTTACCCTATAGACTGCAGGCTTTGGCATGTTAGCCACATTTAGATTATATGCCATGTCGTAATCATGGAGAAAAATCAACCCATGAATCTTTAAAGTGCGGATGAGGATGATGATGCTTTTTCTGGAACATCTCATATCACTTGCACTCTGTCTCTCACTGCACCAATGTATTCTTCCGCGCTATATGATTTGTAATCGGTTTATTTTTCAGCCATCAAACGTATAACGCACGGTTCACAAACAATACCTTAAGCCCACATCCTATGAAATATTATTCTATTCATTCAAGGTTGAGATACATTTAGATGCCAATTTCCCAGTAATGGCGATGTTTGGATCTATTTTGTCTCAAAAACGAGTTCCACCCATAGCGCCATTTTATGTTCCATAGCAGCTTTGTTGTGAAGAGATGCCTGCTTGAGCCATAAAGCAACATCATTTTAATGCCCGTTACAAATATATATATTAGGTATTGTAGCGAGATTAGTTGATTGGTTATCACCAAGTTTAACTACTCTGTCCATGCAGGATCTTGACTGAACACCTGTAAGGAATATCAAAGATTAAGTTAGCTTTTTAGCTTGCCTGGCAACGTGTTAGCTTGTCGAAGCCGACAAAAGACGACTGCTCGTCGCACATTTTTACCTGAAACTGTAATCTACCAGTAGCCACGTTGACGACCACCGTGCAGGACACGAAGACCGAGGAGATGGCGACCTCAGTGGGAAACGTGGCCGACAGCACAGGTTGGTTGATTTTTAGTTAGCTCACGTTAATGTAGCAAGCTGTGAAAACGATATCTCGTGTTACAACGTTAGCTCCCATCGATCGAGCATGATCGATGGGATCATCGATGAGTATGCAGCTAACATTTAAAACAAATAATATAGGAATGTAATAGACTTTCACCATTACATACCTTTGCGCCACACTAGTGAACATTATAAAAATTGAAAATAAGGCCCAGTTCATGCCCTTTAATGACAAATAACTACTTCAGGGCCGTGCTCCTTGGTAAGGAATGCTAGCACAACGATAGCTAACTAGCATCAGGTTGTACCAAAGAAAACTCCCATAGTTGTGTTACGAGTGTCGATTTGACGACTACTTTCATGTGTATAAACGTTGCATAATTTTTGCTAACGATTCACAGGTGTATATATAACAATAACGTTGTCGTAAACTGTTTCGCACAACGGTGTTGCGGTGTGGCTAAGTTAGCTTAGAATGTTTGCTACCCCCCATGACAGCAAGCTGCTGTCGTATTTTGTTTCCTACTGAGTGACTGAATGAAAATGGTTACCATTGTTAATACGTAACCACCGTTGTTTTTTTTATCTGTACAAACTACATTAGCGGCATGACCACTGTTATAATGAGGGTCGTGCAGCTTCCTGCTGTAGTACTGGCTGTGCAGACATCACTGCTTGGCGCAAATGCCCAAGGTTAATGACTCCTTTTGCCTTTATAATAACCCTAAAGGTTACCAATACATTGTGTCTTGTATCTGCTTATGGTTCTTTACCACAAAACGCTGACTTGATTGTTGCATTATGACTGGATGCATTATGTAAAATAAACTATCCGTCCTTCTTGCATACAAGTATTATGACGTAATAGAAGGATGAGCCTGATCTAACGTTACTGCGATCTTTAATGCTCTGCCATTATAGCCTCAGATTGCAGGCGTGTGTTTCCACTGTACACCAGTTGGCATATCTGACCCATTAGACTCCTCCACCCTTCTGTACACTGAGAAACATACAGGATGTGGTTTAAGCCACACCCTGCACACATTTACCTCGAATGGCACTGTACTGTAGGTCCATCTGACAGTTCCACCTGGTATGGCACACTGCTTTTTGATAGACATTTAAGGAAGAAGATAAGCACAACACGTTTTAAAAATGCAAACCATATACTTGGGAATGAGGGAAAGATAAATGCATACATAATACAAAATATGTCCATATTTACAACCCCAGATTTCCGCTATTTTAGGGCCTTATGGAATTGAAACGTGACTTGACAGTTGTACAATCACGTTTCGATTTAATCTTATGAAACATTAAATCCATGGTGTTAATATCTTCTGAGTTTACGTCAGTGTATCATTCCCCTCCCTGTTTCTTTTTCCACCTCATTCACTTATTTTTTTTGTAGAAATTGTAATACGTTTTTCTTTTTTATGGGTGGAAGCCCTTTCTTTCTTATCAGTAAAATAAATTGGTTAGAGAAATAAGTGTACTAGTTTGAAGCGATTCACAAACTCAAATGTTTACACATTTAAACACGGTACAGTGTGTGTGAGGATGCATTTATGTTTTCTTAAATGGACACACATTCATATTGTCTTCTGCATAATATGCAAGCTATGCAGTTCTAGGACAACCTTACATATTTTCATATATATAATAAAACAGTTATACTGTAACTTACTTTATTAAAAAAAAATATATAATAACAACCCCAAGAATTGAAACCGGAATGTAAAATTCCCTATAATATGTCATAATTGCAAAACATGTTATCAGTACTACCTTTTAGTCCCCCTAAATGTTTTGCCATATTTTTCCTTTGACAGCATAAGCTTCAAATTCTTTATTTGTAGTTTTCATTTGTCCTATTTAATTTCCTCCATCATGTCTAACATGTTGTTTTCCCCCCTCCTTGGGATGTGTTGGTGCTCCAGAACCGACAAAACGTATTCTTTCCTTCCAAGGGTTGGCTGAGCTGGCGCACCGGGAGTATCAGTCAGGGGACTTTGAGGCAGCCGAGCGCCACTGCATGCAGCTCTGGAGACAGGAGCCTGATAACACAGGCGTGCTGCTGCTCCTGTCCTCCATCCACTTCCAATGCCGAAGACTCGACAGGTGAGGTGTGGGGGGGCTGACTCAACGCACACAGACCATGTGGCGGGAAGGTGGCCGAGAATAATGGCTCCTCTCACTTTCAGTGCACACAGCTCTCCTAGCGAGTCAAATGCTACAACTGAGCAGCCTTCTGGAAATGCTGTTGCTCTGTATCAAGCTCACTCTTTCCCCTCATGATTCTAACACTGTTTCGGTGGTGGCCCTACCCTTACTTTGCAGGTGCCACGGTGGAGGTTTCGGGTCTTGAGATTTACAGGTTTTAAATGTTTAATCAATTTGTCAAGCCTTTCAATTCGCACAACGCCAGCAGTATACTCCAAATTGATTTCAATGTTGTGGGCATACTACAGTGAAAAATGCACTAAAATGAATCGGAAGCAACTGAAGACAACTCTGAAATGAATACTTTACCAAAGGATAACATTTTGTTGAGTGGTCTTTCATTGTTTAATAAAATCTACATGCAACATTAGTTACTAATGCATGTAACTGCATCAAAGTGCAATAGGCACCACAGGGGTAGGCATTAAAGGTAAAATGCCACTGGCCCCACCATTGTAACCACTGGCCCGGAGCATTCGTCCAAAAAAAAATCCACTTATAATGAAGAAAACACATTAGTTGCAATATAGTAATGTATGCACTAACTACGTTACTACTTGTACTACAACATTTGAATCATCAGTTCTTCCTCATTTTCCTCAATTGTTCATATTTGGTTTATTAAAATAATGATATTGTGGTCATTGTTAAAAAAATTCTGCTATTATTATTATTATTATTATTATTATTAGTATAATGCACTTTCTGCCTTCCTGTCATCAGGAGTTAGAAATGTAATGGCTATGTAGTAGATTAGAACCTTCATTCTCCTAAACTGCTGGGACATTTCCCTAAAGCCAATACCTTTATATTGTCTACTCTTCACTTACTTGTCAGCATAGGTCGGCATTGATGTACAGAGCTGACAGAAGACCTTGTTTATATTGGCATCATATTGAGAGGTGCAGTGACGCGTCCTAAAATCAGGAAGTAAGCTGCTGGTTCCCTCGACAAAAAGCAATGGGATTTCTCCACAGGGTTTTGGAAAATAGCTGGAAATAAGGTCTGTGGAAAACAAACCTGTTTGATAAATGCACGTTTTGTTTAGCCGGATAATATCCACATGTCTACCCTACTTTTATTATTTTCGAATCATTAATCTAATCGATAGATTATAAAAGGGTTTTAGGACGCGTCACTGCACCTCTAGAAGCCAACTCCATCGATCAAGCTGGCTGAAACTTTCAAACAGCTGTTTGCTTTTCACCCAACAACGACAACCGACTCACGGAACGCTATGTTGTAGCGTTGATAAACAAAACAATTTAACTAAATTGCTAGTCAAAATACCTATACCACAGGAACATTTTTTTTAAAGCAATATTTTTAGTGGCCCGAGCGGGCAAGTGGAAAGTACGTTATGCTGGCCCGGGGTGTCTAAATAGTGCTTCCGGGCCAGCGGGCCATTTATAATGTTGAGTCCTGCACCACTTATCTTTATTTGGAGTATAATCCACACACAAATAAAGGATTCTCTGAATGGAAATTAAGGAAATGTGTGTCATGTACTAATGTTTTCAATATTTTAGGGATACTATTCTTGATGTGCTGTTAATTTATTTTCCGGATAGTTTGCCGGAAATCAAGTTTCTCCTTTCACCTCCTTCCACCTCGCTGCTGCCTCTGCACAAGGCATTGGGCCAACACTGCCAGCCACTGCCCTCAGGAATGTGACCGTTCTTCATCCATTTTTGCCCTACAGGTCTGCTCATTTCAGCACCTTGGCCATCAAACAGAATCCAATGTTGGCCGAGGCCTACTCCAACCTGGGGAACGTGTACAAGGAGCGTGGTCAGCTGCAGGAGGCCATAGAGCATTATCGCCATGCTCTCAGACTGAAACCAGATTTTATTGATGGATACATCAACTTGGCAGCAGCTTTGGTGGCCGCAGGGGACATGGAGGGAGCAGTGCAGGCTTATGTGTCCGCTCTACAGTACAACCCTGTAAGTGACAGGCCACTCGATGCAGTCATTAAAGGGTAACCTAACACTCTGCTGAAAAAGAGTCTGTTTCTTTTCTGACCACACCTATCACTGCTTAACATTGTTTGGTGTGGCTCGTAATGTCAATTCACAATAGAGTTGTCACAAAGTCCTGGAGCACATCTGTATTATACTGCAGCAAAGTGAAAAGTTAAACCACTTGAGGAAAGACAAGATTTTCACGGCGTGCTAAGTTGCTCTTTTTTTGACGAAACATGTATCTGCCGTTTTTGTAGCAGAAGATTTGAATGTTTTCTTCTTTTTTCAGGATCTTTATTGTGTGCGCAGTGACTTGGGCAACTTGCTTAAAGCCCTTGGGCGTTTGGAAGAGGCAAAGGTATGTTACAGCGCGTTGGCATTTGTACATAAGTGTTGTTTGTATTTTCTTTTTAAAAAAAAAGAAGGTCCCTTTTTTTAATATGGCCATAGATATTATTCCAGTTAACTTTTTTAAAGCCAAATCCAGTCCTTCCTCTTCACCCTCTGTCTAGTGAAGGACAGGACATGGTAGCATTGGCAGTAAGCTTCTCACACCTAACTTACTAAAAACCTCTAAAGGTATTAGACAGTTAGGAAAGACCTGTAAGAGGCAACCGTTTCTTTCTGTAGTTTTTACACACATTTTCTGTTGATGACTTTTTAGGCAGCTTCATCTACTTTTTTTATATTATATTATCACTTTTGTCCCTACCCTATATCACTCTTAGTCCTGATGTCTTATACTTTACCCCGACCTTTTACCAGAGGTCAGCCCCTCCCCTTTCAGGAAGAAAGGCTGGCATTTCTAAAGTATGAATAATTTGATCTATTTTGTCATTTTTTAACCTCAGCCCATGCATTTTCATATAGATTTTGGAGGGAAAATGCTGGCTCGGTCTTTGAAGAATATATGAACTGATGAGAAGCTAGTTTATCAATGCAATGCAAAAGATAAGATGGTTCCACCCTAACCACTACACTCCAATGTCAAGCTTTTTCTCAGTTTGCTGTCAGTAAAGTTACTGGCAGTGTGGGTTTTTCCCCCCAGTGTTACGCTTCCCCTCTGTCATATATAAGTCTTCTGCTTGTATAAAAGGGCTCCCAGGCTGGGTGGGATGTGGGGATATGGAGTTGTCTCAGTGGTTACAGGCCATCTTATTTCGTGCTAGAGGGGGGTTAAGGAGTGGGGAGGAGCATAAGGGAGTTACAAGCTCCCCTGCTCTGTCGCTCCACCCCCCCGCGCGCTTGCTAAGGATTGGTGGAGTGTGCGCGCTGAGAGTTGCCTTCCTGACCATTTAGCCATGCCCAGTCAGTGCTCAAGCACACATGCATTAATTCTCCTTTTTGACTATGAAAATAATGACAATTGTACTCATCTGGCTATCTCTTCTGATATCCACTGCTGTTGAATTGTGCGGGGCTCAAATCACAAGTGCCTTAAAATGGTTTAAGTGTTGTCAGGCAGACAGCTCAATATCTGCACTCCACCACCTGCGTCAGATGCTGGTTTAGAAAGACAGGAACGCGCAGCAACAGCGATGACTTCTTTATTTCAGAGCTTTGGAGGCTTCTAGATTCCAATAATTAAACTACAGACCTTTTCCCCCCATTGGCCAGGATTCAAGAAAGCAGGCCAGGACAAAGATTTGCAAATTTTTCATGAAAATGCAAAAAAACCGAGAGACGATGATTAATACTTCTTCCCTTTTGCTTCAAATATGTTATATTATTCCCAAATAAATGGGATCAGTTCATTTGGGCAAGATCAAGCCAGTAACTGCCCTCCTGTAGTTTAATGTACTAAATTGATGGACAGCTGGAAATCTGACCTGACCTAAATTGTACTGATAAACTGGACATATAAAAGCCTTTCTTCCCTCCCCGTTACCCCAAGCATTTTTTTTTGTTTTCTTTGAAATGAAACAGTCATTGCATGAATGAAATCAAAGTATAGGCTGTTTTAGGTTTGTTGTGATTTCGAAGAACCTGTTTTGTTTCTATATACAAAAAAAAAAATGTATTGTTTAAAGACTCTTACTAACGATCCTGTTTTCTGATTTTGTCTCTTTTGGTTTTTCCACAACTGATATTGTTATTTAGAAGGTTTCAGGTGGGTGACACTATTCCTGCGTAGGTGCCTGGCGGAAAGGAACACTAGGGCAGCCTCAGTCCTCCTCTTCTTCCAGCCAGCTGCGGCCACCACTCTGACAAAGTCCAAAAATATGGTAACGGGTTTGTAACTGACAACAAAAGAAAAAAACCACCTCACTTCATGCTCCTCTGTCTTGTGGCTTCCTTTGAAGAGCAAAAGAAAGATGTAGCAAAACAAATTACAGTAAGCATTTCTTACAATATGCTATACTAATTACCCAGCTCTGTATTACTTAAAAAGAAACTAGGCTGTGGAAGCAATAATCGTGAAAAACAAGTAAGAACCCTCTAACTCTTACATGTTGTTTATTTTTCCTATTTTGTTTTGTTTTTTCCTTCTTTATTTGGAGTTGCAGCGTTCTGATGATGCAGATAGTGCGCTGTGAGTCTGCAGTAGCGCAGGGGCCGCGCAGCGATATCCTCCAAGCCACAAAAAGGCGGAAAGCGCAAGCCTGCGACCCAAAACCCCCTACTCCCTTTGGCCTGTTGGTTGCGGACCTCTCCCCACTCCAAACCAGCCTCGCTCCCGAATGCCCCTAAATCTCAGACATTTCTGGCTTTAAAAAAACAAAACGTTTTTACTAATTCAATCAAAAATAACTTCAAATTGCTCCCCTGCTTCAGCCACTGGTTGACCCCCCCCCCCCCCCCCTGCCCCTTTCATTCTGAGATACTCTATGGGCGCTGAGTGTGTGCCAGTCTGGTCAGGTGTTCTGCAAGGGGTTGTTGGTCTGTAGCTGGTCATCAGCTAGTGCGGCAGCGAAATGACCATGCAATGTCATGCAAACGGCTTTATATGGTGCATTGTGGTGGCGGTGGCAATAGACACACACCACGCGCTCGCGTTTGTTGCGCTCGCATTACAGGAACCATCACTCGCACGAACTGTCCAGCATCCCAGGTTGTAAGATATCATGCCCACATGAAATATGCAACATGTATGCAGATCATTTTGATATTTATCGCTATGGGTTATAACTAATCAGCCTTGATTGTATTAGGGGGACAGCAAAATGATGTGGGGGGCTACTACATCTGCTTAGTATGTGGCCATAACTGAAGTATGCGGGCATACGTGTGGGTGTTGGTTGGATCCGCGCAGCGTAGGAAAAAGCAATGCAGCTTAGCGCGGCAGATTTCAGCGCAAGCGAGCCCATGCTGCAGACTCACTTTTTGCCATGATGGAGAATAGTCACTAATTTTGCTTTCTCTGCCCTTTTTGTTTTTTCTTACTTTTATTCTCAATCTTCTATTCGTTTTTATTTTACAATCCCTTGTCCTCCCCTCTACGCTCTATACCTCTTCCCTTCTACCTCTTCTCCTCCTGTCCTATGGTTTTTTCATTATTATTCCAATGAAGGCATGTTACCTGAAAGCTATTGAGACTCAGCCCAACTTTGCAGTGGCTTGGAGCAACCTGGGCTGTGTGTTCAATGCCCAAGGAGAGATATGGCTGGCCATACATCATTTTGAAAAGGTCAATATCATAACATTTTGTATCATTATTCAATCCTACCTTCTGTCTTTGTATATTTCTGTGTTGTCCCATGTTTCTAAGATTGCTTTTTATTTTAGGCAGTGACTCTGGACCCAAATTTCCTTGATGCGTACATCAATTTAGGAAATGTTTTGAAGGAAGCCCGCATCTTTGACAGGTGAGTCTAAAAATATAAATCTTAACATAGTAGATGGTATGATACCTAGGGATTTAACGATACCAAAAACTCACGGTACGATAATATCGCGATAACAAGTCCACGGTACGGTATTTATCGCGATATTGAATAATAAAATGTTTCTTTATTACATAATAAATCTGATTTTTACAGCATTTTTGTAGGATAGCAGTATTTTAAAGTGTCAAAAACAAAGTGACAGTAACAGACTGGAACAAGAAAACCAAACAAAGTAAGCATTTTCTTTATGCCACTGCATCTCACAAATAAACAAGGACATTTAATAATCAGACCCTGCAATAAAATAAATCAAGTTTCACTTTAGTTTTTCAAGTAACTCAACTCAAACTCACTAGTCACTCACTCAGCATCATCAGACAGGTTTTTAGGAGAATGTCCACATCTCCAGGTATTTATAAGCTGGGATGTTTGGGCATTTACAATATCCCCTGCTCTGGAAAAAACTCTCTCGCTTGGTACTGATGTTGCTGGGACACCAGTGGTCGCGTTAACCGAAAATATTATATTTAACAATGACGGAAAAATCTGAAAGCAGTCTGTCATTTTGACAGATTAGAACAAACTCGGAACAGCGCCAACGTTTCCCCAGAGCCAGGCTCTGGTGTTATGCCGTGTTATGCATGCCCTCCAAAAGGAAATTATATAGTTTCCAAACCGTACTTTGCCGTACAGATCAATACATGTCTGGGAGGTTTTGCTTTACGTTGTGCGCGTCCCGCGAGGTGCATGCACACACGGCATAACACCGCCCCCCCCACCCCCCGTTGACAGTTCATGAGCATGCTCTATCATGAACTGTTCAGACCCGACGGGTAATAAGGGATTATGACGGATATTTTACGATCCTGTCTGTCAAAATGACGGACAGCGAAAAAGTCTAACGCCAGGCTTATTGACATGGCGAGATATAAATATATGGTTGGTACTTGTCAATGTCTCTTGGTGTGTAAATGTAGCCCTGTAAATACGATGTCCTTTTGTGTTATCTGTTGTTTTATTTTCATGTTGTAACCTACTTGCTGCCATGTTGGACAGGTCTCTCTTGAAAAAGAGATCGATGATCTCAATTGGACCAGCTGGTTAAATAAAGGTTTATAAAAAAAAAAAATCTATTTAAAAAAATAATTTTTTCTTAAAAATCGCGGTAGATTTAGTCAGTCTCACGACGGTATTGGGAAGTTTATTTACTGCGATATTCGGTATATCGTTACATCCCTAATGATACCCTGTGTGGAACTTAAAATCATTGAAGAACTACGTCAGCTCAATTACCTCTTTGTCCGTGATCCTATGTTCAGCAAACAGTACTTGAGGCAGAGCTGCCATCATGTTGTTGTTGTTTTATACAGCAATACATTTAACAATGTGCTCCAATAATTCCAACGTTGTTTAAATGTGTGAACACCTATAAACAATTCAACTTTGTAAGAAGTTTTACAAGAAGTTATTAAAATACATTATAACTTCTAATTTTGGAATTTCTAATTGCAGCGAAAGAGTGATCTTTAGCTTAACTTGTATCTGCATATTGTGTTTCCAGAGCTGTGGCTGGTTACCTGAGAGCCCTGAGTCTCAGCCCCAACCATGCAGTAGTGCATGGTAACCTGGCCTGTGTCTACTACGAGCAAGGCCTCATTGACCTGGCTATTGACACTTACCGTCGTGCTATTGAACTTCAGCCCCACTTCCCCGATGCCTACTGCAATTTGGCAAATGCCCTAAAGGAGAAAGGCAATGTAAGAGAGCGCTTTGTGTTTCCACTGTCAACCCAATCTGAAATGTCGAGATTTCAAAAAGTTGTAATAAAGTGAAATGTGTTTAACTTTTTACAATGCCAATGTGTTTCCAGGTGTCTGAAGCAGAAGAGTGCTACAACACAGCCTTGCGTTTGTGTCCAACCCATGCAGACTCTCTTAACAACTTGGCCAATATCAAGCGTGAGCAGGGCAACATTGAGGATGCAGTTCAGCTCTATAGAAAAGCGCTAGAGGTAAGTTAATAGTTAACTCCTCTGGTGTGAAAGGTTCAACAAGACCTCTTGCCTTTTGGTAACCCTTTTTGCTTTTTCATCAGGTGTTCCCAGAGTTTGCAGCAGCTCACTCTAACCTTGCCAGTGTCCTGCAGCAGCAGGGCAAACTCCAGGAGGCCCTCATGCACTACAAGGAGGCCATCAGGTTTGTACATCTATAATTGTCTTTTCAAAAGTAAATGGTCCTAAATCAACATTAGACATGATGGAGTTGTTTATACAAGTGTTAAATGCAATTATTTGTTTGGTTTTAGGATCAGCCCCACATTTGCTGATGCCTACTCAAACATGGGCAATACACTGAAGGAGATGCAGGATGTCCAGGGAGCGCTGCAATGCTACACCCGGGCCATCCAGATCAACCCGGCCTTTGCTGATGCTCACAGTAACTTGGCCTCTATTCACAAGGTAGGAATGACTTTAACTTTAACGCGATGTAGAATTGTCACATCGCTTTAGGGCTTTACCCGCCTCTAGGTTGACCGAAAAGATCCATCAGCAATGTCATTTCAATCGTTTTCTCTCAATAATGCTAATGTTTTTGTTTGTACTTTTATGTTCCAACAGTTGGAATTAGTCTAAAACAGTGTACAAATGAATGGTTCAATGCTTGTTTCATTTATATATGCAGGATTATACTTTATTTATTATATCCTGTTAAGTGGTTAAAAATGAGTCTCTGGTTAGGGAAGGGAGAAATCATTATTACTGTCCTCATACAATATTCAATTAATATACTGTATTACCAGCCGTTGTGTATGTGGTATAATGGATTGCCGTTTTTGGTTTTGCAACTTTGTGCATTTTGATCTTATATTTATTTATTTATTTCTCCTGACTAGGATTCTGGAAACATCCCAGAGGCCATTTCATCTTACCGCACAGCGTTGAAACTGAAGCCGGACTTCCCTGATGCATACTGCAACTTGGCACATTGCCTGCAGGTTGGTATATGCCAACAGCTTCTTCAAATATATAAAACACAAGCCAATGTTGAATTAGAAGCTCATGTTCTAACTTCTCTTCCTCCTGTCACCCTCCCAGATTGTGTGTGACTGGACGGACTACGACGAGCGTATGAAGAAGCTCGTTAGCATCGTGGCCGACCAGCTGGATAAGAACCGCTTGCCATCAGTGCACCCCCACCACAGCATGCTTTACCCACTCTCTCACGGCTTCCGCAAGGCCATCGCTGAACGCCACGGAAACCTTTGCCTGGACAAGGTACACGCACTGATCAAAGCAAGTAAACTTTAATTCTTTTTTGGGGGGGGTGGGGGGGTTGGAAGGTGGCTGGTGATGGCAGTGGCTGTCTGCAGGGATATGGGGAAGGTAAGGGATGGATGGGCAAGTTACTGGATGTATTTGTAGAAAAAAGTGTGAAAGGTGTTAGTGAATGGGTGGCTTGCCGGGCTGGGGTTATTAAGTTGGTTCGATTTTGGATGAATATGTGGTTCCGTCTAAGTCCACCATTGCTACATTCGGTGCAGCTCAGTCAAACTAGAATTGGCTATCCTGCTGAGGGTGTATTCTTACACTATTGCTAATTCCACAGATCAACGCTCTGCACAAACCTGCTTTCGAGCATCCGAAGGATCTGAAGACCAGCGGCGGGCGTCTGCGTGTGGGATACGTCAGCTCTGACTTTGGCAACCACCCCACTTCCCATCTGATGCAGTCCATCCCTGGCATGCACAACCCTGATAAATTTGAGGTTGGTGAACCTTGTTTATTTCAAGAAATTACAAACCTGACTATTCAATTGCATATTCCAATGTAATGTCTTAAGAATCACCAGAGGCCCCACATTACAATATCATCAAGATACTTTAGAAACTGTACAATATTATTCCAGTTTTTAACATTTTGAGATATGGTGAGGATTGCAATAATATATATTTCAATTGACCTTGTTCTACAACTGCAAATTAGTCAGTTGTCAAAAGAAATGTTTCCTACTTTGAATAACCAACTTCCTGCCAATTCCTCTGATCTTATCAAGAAATTAACTCTGCACCATCTAATTGTTACCAAAAAAGTGGGAAAAAATTGTGCAATATCTATGATTTATAGTACAAGAGTTGGCTATACTATTCTCTAGGGATGCTCCGATCGCCAATTTTGGGGCCAATCGCCGGAATCAGTATCGGCCGATCGAGTGGGTGGGGCCTATGGGGATCTTCCATTTAAAGTGATGTTTAAAACTCAGTTAATGGGGTTCATTCACTGGCGCTTCCACAAACAACAACCAACATAATTATTACATTCAAATGAAGTACATTATTCAAGTTTACATTAACTTTGGATAATAACACGGGAGACATGAGCGGAAGTGCTCTCTTTTCCTCTCTCCCTCCCTCTCCTGACAGCCTGTCAGTATCGTCTCATGCAGCTCACTGATCCAGTAATGAACGAGTAACCCGACAGTGAAGAATAAATATATTTATAACTAGTTCAGCTTGTTCCAGAGGTAGATAAAATAGCTAAGTGCTATGTTGCTCCGCTCACCGGTCCGTCACAGCGGGCGGAGCTGCAGGATTTCTGCTTCACACACGTTGCATACCGCTATTTTATTGTCATTTTCGGACACCTTAAAATACTGCCAGACTGGTGAAGCCCTTATGGTGAGCTTGTTTTGCCGCGCACAGAGAAAAGTGTCATGTATTTTACGTCATGTGATCGGCTCTCCCGATCAGCCTTTATGGAGAGCACCGACCGATCGGCAGAGTGAATATCGGCCGATATCGATCGGCGGCCGATCGATCGGAGCATCCCTACTATTCTCTATTGGTTTATTTTCAATGTACAGACTTACCAACAGGGGTTACCAGGGTTGACCGATAGTTTATGTTGATGTTAACTTTCTTTTTTCATTTCCCCTCAAGGTGTTCTGCTATGGGCTCAGCCCCGATGACAGCACCAACTTCCGTGTGAAAGTGGTAGCAGAGGCTCATCATTTCACAGACCTCTCACAGGTAATTATATAATCTATAGAGGCCTCTTTTAACATGAACTATGTGATTTATTTATTTTATTTTCGCTCAAGAAATATTCTCATGTGATGACAAAGTCAAACCAATTTCCCTGAAACTGTTACCTCTTTCCTGCAGATTCCTTGCAATGGCAAGGCAGCTGATCGAATTCACCAGGATGGAGTCCACATTCTGGTCAACATGAACGGATACACCAAGGGAGCCCGAAATGAGCTGTTTGCCCTTCGCCCTGCCCCTATTCAGGTGAGCATAATATGATTTCTGATGACATGGAGTTGTATTTGAAGGTAAAAAACTGCATCTTCATCGTCATTTTATTCTGATCTCTTAAGACTATGTGGCTGGGTTATCCTGGAACCAGTGGGGCGCCCTTCATGGACTACATCATCTCTGACAAGGAGACGTCACCCTTGGAGGTGGCTGAGCAGTACTCTGAGAAACTGGCCTACATGCCACATACCTTCTTCATCGGGGACCACGCCAACATGTTCCCTCACCTCAAGGTTTGTCCATCCTTGCTCTTTTGCTTCTTACTTCAGTGTTCAATGTGTCAGGAAACACTCTAAAATATAATCAGGGTGCTTTTAACATCTGTTTTTATTTTTTCTACTCGCAGAAAAAGGCTGTGATAGATTTTAAATCTAATGGCCACATCTTTGACAACCGCATTGTTCTCAATGGTATTGATCTGAAGGCCTACTTGGACAGTCTGCCAGATGTGAAGGTGATAAAGGTGAGTGAAGAGAATTAACTGAAAAAAACAAGTTGTTTTTCTGTTAAAAAAAAAACATGCCAATATTAACCTTGTGGTGAAAAATGTCATTATTTAATGATTAACCATCAAGGATTTCAATTGAAACTGTTCTGCTGATGTTCTGCAGATGAAGTGTGACAACAACCAGGAACCTGCTGGGGAGATAAATGGACAGCTGTCCATGCCTGTCATCCCCATGAACACGGCAGCTGAAGCTATCATCAACATGATCAACCAAGGCCAGATCCAGGTCACAATCAATGGATTCACTGTCAGCAACGGCCTGGCCACCACACAGGTATGTCAAAACGCATCGGTGTTAATGTAAATCTTGAGGGGTATAGCATTGTTTTAAAACGATAAAAAAACATTGCAATGCAAGAGCAGCCACTTAATTAAGCGTCCTGCTTTCCAGATCTTTTCAACAGCTGAGGTTGTAGTCTCTGAGACTGTTTTGCTTAACCTGTCAAGCTAGAGAGGACCCTAATCCGGGTCCTGCGGGTAGTTTTTTTCACAAAACTGTGTCTCAGGGCTTCTTAATATTTTAAAAACCTATTAATGTGTCATACTCAGCTAACTGACAATACGAACCATATTTACCGAAACAAAACGCAAGTCTCACAAGAAGCGTCTAAATGAGCCCTGAGCGAAAAAATGCTAACGCACTTAGCACAGAACTCAAGGTAAAAATACCCTTATCCGATTAAAGCTGAGATTCCACAGATTCTACAGATATTAATTAGTATATTCACTGCGTGATCAGAACTTGTGACAGGGGAAGCAAACACAGACATCACAACACGTAGCTTTACGGAGCATTCACGGGAGATCGTCTCACCTTAGCTGTTATTCTGATCAAAAGTCGTGTTCAATGGCATTAAAACGATAAAAACGCTGCTGAAGGTTAATGTCACTTTGAAATTACTACTGATAATCCATCTTCATATTTATGTCAATAACGGATATTTCATATTCGTTGCTACGACAGTGTATGACAGCTTACGGTTTTGGGCATTCTGGCGCATCACTCATTCACCAATGGGTAATGTTTAGATGGATTTTAGGAACTTCCCATCGATTCTATTGGCTCTAACGGTTAAAAAGAGCTTTCAATCATCAAAATCGAACGAGGGGGCTGAGACTGCCAAGGCACACACCCAAATGACCCCAGAAGTGTTTTTTTTTCTTTTCTAAATCTCTCTAAAAAGGTCAAACTTCACTTGTTTTGCATCACTCTTGATACAGGGTACTTATTATGTTGTTTGGATTCCTAAAGCTTTTAGTCTCCGATCCCCTCATTCAAGGGTGGTTTTCACTTAAAGTAATTTATTTTGGAAGGACACTCAAATCTAATTTTTTTTTTTTTACTATGTATGTTCAATCTGGATTTACTTTCAAATAAAAACATCTATATTGATTAGGGATGCACCGAATATTCGGCCGCCGAAAATTATCGGCCGAAAAGGGCCTAGCACCGAAAAAATATCACCGAATGTC